ATCTGCATCCGATCCACCTTGGTTGTCGATGATGCTGCCCAGATATGTAAAGGTGTTAACGTCCTCCAAGGCAGCATCTCCATCAAGAGTGATTTGGTTGGTGCATGTTGTGTTGTATCGGAGAATTTCGCTGTTTTGTTTATGTATGTTGAGACCTACTGCTGCAGAGACTGTTGCTACTCTGGTCGTCTTCTCTTGCATTTGTTGTTGAGTGTGCGATAGAAGAGCCAGGTCATCTGCGAAGTCCAGATCGTCCAGCTGCGTGCTAACTGTCCTGTTGATACCGTGCTTCCCTCCAGATGTTGACGTCTTCATAATCCAGTCGAAGACCAGGAGAAAGGGTGAGAGTAAGCAACCTTGCCTCACACCGGTCTTCACCTCAAAGGAGTCTGTTAGCTGTCCTTCGTGTACGATTTTGCAGTTGAATCCATCATAAGAATTCCGTATGATGTTAACTATTTTCTCAGGCACACCGTAGTGTCGAAGAAGAGTCCACAGTGTTTTCCTAACCACGCTATCGAATGCTTTCTCATAGTCGATGAAGTTGATGTAGAGTGGTGAGTTCCATTCAATTGATTGTTCCACAATGATCCGTAGTGTTGCAATTCGGTCAGTACATGATCGATCCTTACGAAATCCAGCCTGTTGATCTCGAAGTTGGGCGTCTACGAAGTCCTTCATTCTGTTTAACAATACCCTGTTGAAGACTTTGCCTGGTATTGAAAGAAGAGTGATGCCTCTGTAGTTCTCACACTAGCTCAGGTCGCCTTTCTTTGGTATTTTGATCTGGTATCCTTCTTTCCAATCTGATGGTACTTGTTCCTCATCCCAAATCTTCTAGAAGAGGATGTGAAATATTTTCGCAGTTGCTTCCACATCTGCTTTCATTGCCTCTGCTGGAATGTTATCTGGTCCTGCTGCTTCGCCGCTTCTGATTTGTCTGATGGCCATACTGATCTCCTCAATCGGAGGTGCGCCAATGTTAACTGGGAGGTCCGTGGATGCTGCTTCGATGTTGGGTGTGTTCAGTGGAGCTGGTCGATTCAATAGTTCCTTAAAGTGCTCTACCCACCTATTTCGCTGTTGTTCAGTGTTTCTGATTACTTTGCCTTCCTTACTTTTCACTGGTCGTTCTGGTTTACGATAGTTCCCGGCGAGCTTCTTTGTTGTTTCGTACAATTGTTTCAAGTTTCCTTCTCTTGCAGCCTTTTCCGCCGTCATTGCTAGATCTTCCACATATTTTCGTTTGTCAGCTCTGATGCTCTTCTTCACTTCCCTGTTTGCTTCTGTGTATGCAGCTTGTGCCTTGGATTTTCCTGCTCTTGTTCGGCTGACATTCACTGCAGCCTTCTTGTTCCTCCTTTCTTCAATTTTATCAAGAGTACCAACAGAGATCCATTCCTTGTGTTGGTACTTCTTGTGACCCAGAACAGTATCCCGAAGAAAGGCCGTATTAAACTTGTGCGATGTTGTCTGCCCCGTTGTCCAGTGCTTCTTCAGTTTCAGTTTCATTGTGGCGATTAGCAAATGGTGATCTGAGGCTATATCAGCTCCTCTCCTGGTTCTCACATCCTCCATAGTCCTTCTGAACGTTTTGTTGATACAGATATGATCAATCTGGTTTTGAGTAGTGTGATCCGGTGAAATCCATGTAGCTTTGTGTATGCGTTTGTGCGGGAATATTGTGCCACCGATGACCAGTTTGTTGAAGGCACATAGGTTAGCAAATCTCTCACCGTTTTCGTTCCTTTCTCCCAGTCCATGTCGTCCCATGATGTCTTCATATCCAGTGTTGTCCATTCCAACCTTGGCATTCAGGTCTCCCATAAGAATCGTCAAATCCTTCGCTGAACATTTATCGACGATTGACTGCAGCCTTTCGTAGAATTGATCTTTAATGTCGTCATTGTAGTCATTGGTAGGTGCATAACATTGGATGACGTTCATTGTAATGTCCTCTTTCTTTGTTTAGAAGGATGCTTTAATGATCCTCGGCCCATGAGATTCTTATTCTATCAGTGCCTTTTGTGCATGTTTGGACAGCATCAGTGCAACTCCTTGTGTATGTGAAGCATTTTCCTCTTCATGACCAGAGTATAACAGCAGTTCTCCTGAAGCTAGTCTCAGTTGTCCTACCTGTGTCCAATGCGCTTCACTGATTCCAAGCACCTCGAGGTTGTATCTTTTCATTTCTGCTGCAACTTGAAATAGTCTTCCAGTCTCCCACAATGTACGAACGTTGCATGTACCTAAAAAAATGGTTGCTCTGGTTGTCAGAAGAGGCATCGGCCCCGTGACTTCGGAGGGAACTCGGCTTTCATCACGCGACATCATAATTCTTCTTCCAACTCTCAGAGCAGAGTTAAAATGGTTTGATTTATTTGTTCTGGTTAGTGTTTTTTCGGTAAGTTAGTTTTTGACGGAATGGGGTCGCCAACCCCATGTCCAACCCTCCTCCTTTACCCGGGCTTGAGACCGGCAGTAGTCCCGAAGGTTCTACTGGCGGAGTTAAATTACAGATATATTGGACCCAAAATAGCAGGAGCACATACCGAAAGTACGCGCTTTCATGATAGTACTAAACAAGGAGGTCCAATAAAACAATCACTGGTACAAATCACAAATAATGAATGTTTCTATTAAACCAATCGTGTTCTCTTCATAAAAGTGTAGTCTCTACAGTCTAAAAATACATAAAGGTAAAAGCAACATCCCCCGATACAACACAACACGCATCAACTGAGTCACTCTTTATGGAGGGAGATGCCCTGGAGGATGTGAAAAGCTTTGCAGTAGCATTGACGAGCAAGGTGGATCTGATTCAGATATGAAGGCACGGATGGGCAATGCAATGGCTACATTCTACTATTGAACAAAATCTGGAACTCAAAACATCTATCAATCAACACCAAAGTCACAATTTTCTGTACAGATTTCAAAACAGTTCTACTGTATGGAGCGAAAACTTGGAGAAGTACTAGAATTAATTTGGAAGAAACGCTGGAAGTGGATAGGACACACACTGGGGGAAGCACCCGATTGCGTCACAAGACAAGCCCTCACATGGAACCCTCAAAGTCAAAGGAAAACAGGAAGGCCAAGGAACACATTACGCTGAGAAATGGAGACAGACATAAGGAGAATGAACGAAAATTGTACGGTACTGGAAACGGAAGCCCAAGGCGGCCTAAGCTTCATTGTGGGACAACATGCGTAAGTAAATAAGTAATTACGATCGGAAAAACCTGGAAAAATTGGTTTGATTAGCAGCACCAACTGAGTCAAATCGGCTTTCATCGAACCTGACGATTAGCCACTACATACGAGTCGTTAGAAAACCGTTGAATTACCGAAACATTAGTTCTAATCACCAACGAACGGAATCCTGTAACGACAAGATGTGATAGAAGTTATATGGCCGCAATGATGCATAACTATGATTTTGAATACGAATTTATTTCAGCTCTTCGAATGTTAATATTCTTACTCTTCGCTTTGCAGGTTCACATTGAAAATTTTAACTTATAAGTTATATTATTCAACATATCTTGTATATTCCAATGTCAATGTACATAAACTTCTATAAGTGATATGCTCGAAACTATTACGAGTTCACCTTACTCGATGACAGAATGATAATCAGTGATTCAGTGACACGACAGGCTATTCTAATCCGATTGTTCCAGGCCTCACCAACTAGAGTAAGAATTCTTAACAAGATATAGAGAGAACGTATTTCACAAGAATCCGGAAGGTATGAGTTCCACAAACACATAACTCAAGCTTATTTATACAATGATAGAAGCGCCCTTGGAGAGAGCCACAAAATAGCGTACTAAAATAATCCATCAGCCAATGACAGTCAAGGATCTTCCGATTGGGAAATATCAGCTGATAGTTAACAAAGCTGTTGGGGATGTTAGATCCCCAAAACTCGCTTGATAAATGCCTTATTTCGGATTTCACGTTTGCCAGCACGGGCTGATCGGTTGACCTTGAGATTTCAATTCCCACCAGCAAAATCCATGGCTGTGACTGGCTGCTGTGCATTTTAGTGTGCTATTTTCTCAACTGTCCCAAGGACGTTTCTATGTAGTATAAATAAACGAGAGTTGTATGCTTGATTGTACTGTGATTGCTGGGTGTTTGTAGAATATACTTTCTACGCTTACCGCGACTTCTGTTTTACAGTTGGATTCAAGGTAGCCTATCTGGACGCTGGTAATTGTCTCGTTCGCGTTTATCGACTAAGGTGAACTTGTAATAGCTTCAAGTGTACCTAGTGACCAACCCTACAAAAGCATCTGTTGGCTCGAAAACATAAAAAAATTCACGATTTTAGAAATAAATTACAAAATTACGACCTGTTCCATGTGAGTTCTAGGGATCTAATGTCCCCAACAACACTTGTTTCCTTTCGTTCTCCCATGATTATCTTATCTAGTTTCATCAATCAGTTTGTCTTAATCTCACGCTGGCTTTGTTATATCTGCTTGCTGTCTGTTTATTCGTATATTGCATGTAAGTGTATTATTCTGTGCATTGTGCTTACCGAGTGGTCGATCCATCTTTTTCTATTGTTCTTTCATCTTCTTCCAGATAATCTCACACGTTGCTCCTCATGTAGTGAAGAAGAACATAGGTGAGGGCAACCGGATTGTATTTAACGAAAATTACAGAGTTACTCAGTAAAATCGGAACACCATATCGTAAATCATGTTAATTCGCAAAATATCAGTTCATCATATCGAACTGGACTGTTCCTGTTGCAAAACATCAACATCCATTGTCACTATTCATGCGTTTCATACAAATTCCATTGTATTCCCGCTCTTCCTTTCTTGATCTTCCCCCATCTTCTGCTGCCAGACATTACATTGACACTCACGTCATATACTACTTATAAGTAGCTCGCACCACACTCACATCCCATCCTAGCACACAAGGTACCTTCAGGCTAAACGCAAACCAATCAAAGGCTAAAGTTACAGTATTTATTAATTAAAGATTTGAATGAAAACAATCACATATGTAAAAGAATAAAATGCCATAGATTATTTAATGTCTTGCCAAATATATAATAAAAGTTAATTGATCACATTTCATTGACTGGCATAATTTATAATGAGCAAATTAAAAACAATTATTCCACTTATAAATGCAATAATAATAATAATAATAATAATGATTAGAGAACATTGTTTTTTTATTGTAATTTTCATTAGAGTAGTTTCATGACTTTGGATCATCTTCTCCTCTTGTATCGACAGGTTTAAAAACTTCATCTTTTTGTCTTAAATGATTAATAGCTAAACCGAATAGTACACATATAACTAAACAGCATAATGATAAACCGATTGCAATAGATAAACTCATATCATGTGAAACATCACCAGCGCATACAACACCTAAAATAAAATTTTTAAAAAAATAGAAAACGAATTAAGCGTGTAGGGGCACTGGCGAGCGAATGCGTGGAAGAATGAACGAACCAGCTAATAAAACGTACGAAACGACATGAATTGGAGAAGGCTAATGAGCCAACTCCATGGGCAAAGGAAGTAGATGAATAGGCGAAGCGCGTTGGAGAAGGCTAATGAGCCAAATCCAAGAGATAGAGCATGACTAAGAATATATAGTCAGACAAATATAAGACACACATGCAACAAGCAAATAGACACACAGGAATAAAAGCAACGAATAGTCGACAAGGTCAAATGACAAGTGGAACACGCCATGTAAGCTCATACAAACCAGACAATAATAAGAACGAATGGTACATATAAATTGTTGCAATACAAATTGGCTTGGTTAAATAAATTAATCGAAAGTGCTTAAACCAAGTTAGATGTAAGCGAACTGGGATGAATATATGTGGAGGCACTACAAGCGTAATGCATACAAATTATTGGGATACTGTTAGGGATGGATATTCATCCAATATCCTAAGAGAATTATTATTGGTCTATTCCTATTGGTTAATTTTATGGTCGTCCTAGTAGATATCAATGTCACGTGCTCTAATGTTGGTTCTTATTGGTTGTCCGAACTATCAATTTCACTTCAAATGTTACTTCCTATTGGTCGTCTTAACTGTCAATGTCACAGAATTCAATGCTGTAACCTATTCGACCAAAATTTATAAATACGCATTATTTGTAATGGTTTATGACCACGACTAGGACCAGGACCCGGTCCTGGATCCCTAGTCCGGGATCCTGATTCTCTTCTGGATTCGTACCTTGTACTTTCTGAATACTTATAGAATACAAGTTCTACTTCATATCATGTCTTGGATTTGAGTAGCATGTCGTGTCGTTGGATCCTTGATCCTCGCTCTCGTTTTCCGACTAAGGTATACTGGTAATAGTTGAAGCATATCAAAATGACGTGTTTACGTGCAGGCATAACAGATATAAAACATTCAACATGTCAAACAGCATAGCATAGATTGATCAACATGACATTTAATTATTATCATAATTATTATTCTAGTGTATGCTCTGTTTCACATTTTCCAGTGCATAATAACGATACAGTTCAATATTCAATTATCAATAGAACACAAGATATAATGTTATAGTGTGTCGATTTACTGCTGCGTGTTCTTAAGCTCGGTAATTAACTCGTCCAGACAATCGTTACTAAATAGCGTCTGACGGTTTATAAATCAAAAGGTGAACTCGTAGTATGTTGAATACGTTTATTTTTGAACACACCGTAAAGCGAAGCGGAGAAGCAGTGAATAGAACAAAAGAAACGACGTGAATTGAAGAAGGCTGTTGAGCCAATTCCCTAGATTACATACAATGCGAACGAATGGGCGAAGGAAGCGATGTGGAGAAGGCGTGACTAAAAATATATAGTCAAACAAATATAAGGCAGACATGTGATCAGCGAGATAGGCATGCATACACATGAATAAAAGCGACCAATGGTTGACAAGGTCAAATGACAAGTGCGACACGTCATGTGAGCTCATACAGACCAGACAATATAATAAGAACGAATGGTATATATCAATTGTTGCAATAGAAATTGGCTTGGTTAAATAAATTAATCGAAAGGGCTTAAACCAAGTTAGAAGTAAGCGAACTCGAATATATGTGAAGGCACTACAATGTCAAACAAAAATTAACTAATCCATGACCGAAACTAACTGATTTCACTGAATATACTACTTGTTTATACATTAGAAAAATCGAAATAAAACAATATGTACTAATAATATAATTAGAGAAAGCATATCACCTAAAATAATTCTTGGGTGAGCGTTTTACAAAACAAAGCAAAAAAACATTCCACTTAACAAGACAATATGGCCTCTTGAAACTATGCCTTAAAATACACATATAATGCTTCTCTAAACACCAATTGAAAAAACATATTCCTTTGCCGTTTATCTTTTTCTGAAATGCCACCGATGACCAGTTTGTTGAAGGCACATAGGTTTGCAAATCTCTCACCGTTTTCGTTTCTTTCTCCCAGTCCATGTCGTCCCATGATGTCTTCATATCTAGTATTGTCCATTCCAACCTTGGCATTCAGGTCTCTCATAAGAATCGTCAAATCCTTTGGTGAGCATCTGTCGACGATTGACTGCAGCCTTTCGTAGAATTGATCTTTAACGTGGTCATTGTAGTCATTGGTATGTGCATAACATTGGATGACGTTCATTGCAACATTCCGTTTCTTTGTTTTGAGGGAGGCTTTAATGATCCTCGGTCCATGAGATTCCCATCCCATCAAAGCCTTTTGTGCATGTTTGGATAGCATCAGTGCAACTCCTTGTGTATGTGAAGCATTTTCCTCTTCATGACCAGAGTATAACAGCAGTTCTCCTGAAGCTAGTCTCCGTTGTCCTACCTGTGTCCAATGCGTTTCACTGATGCCGAGCACCTCGAGGTTGTCGCAACTTGAAATAGTCTTTCAGTCTCTCACAATGTACGAACGTTCCATGTACCTAAAAAAATGGTTGCTCTGGTTGTTAGAAGAGGCATCGACCCCGTGACTTCGGAGGGAACTCGGCTTTCATCACGCGACGTCATAATTCTTCTTCTAACTCCCAGGGCAGAGTTAAAATGGTTTGATTTATTTGTTCTGGTTAGTGTTTTTTTGGTAAGTTAGTTTTTGACAGAATGGGGTCGCCAACCCCATGTCCAACCCTCCTCCTTTACCGGGGCTTGGGACCGGCAGTAGCCCCGAAGGTTCTACTGGCGGAGTTTATGCTAGGTTAGATCTAGTTGATTTTGACAACATGAGCTATTGTCAGTTTCTGTTGTGGACGTTAGATCCTCAGAATTTACGTGGAAAGGTCCTCATTTTGTAATTTACTTCTTAAATTTTGTGGCTATTTTATGGCTCTCACGGAGAAGATTTTACCATTCATTGTATAAATAAGCTTCAGTTTTGTGCTTTGTGGCTCTCGTACTTTCTGGTTGCCTGAGGAATATTACATTCTCTCTGTCTTGTCAAGATTTCTTCCTCTAGTTAGTGAGGTTTGTGGGACGATCGGATTAGAGTAGCCTATCGTGTCACTGCATCATTAATCTTCGTTCCGTTTACCGATTAAAGTGAACTCGTAATAACTCAAGCATATCAATTAGTGACTGCGGTTGTTAGAACAAGAATCATTATAAACTTGAATCATTACTAAAACTAATGAAGATGTTGACAGACATCAAAATGTTGCCTTGCATCATCCGTAGACTGCATCACAGATAGTATTGCTGAGTTTCATTATGATCTTGATGTCAATGTTACTTTTGACATGTGGTTACGGCGTTATGAAGACCTGTTTAAATTTGATTTTGCAAATCAAAATGATGTTTGGAAAGTTCAGCTGTCAGTTGGAAAGTTAGGTGCAACAGATGCTTGATAGGTCCAGACATTAAGCCAACATTTCAGCGACAACTTGTCATTGTTTAATACTCGTTACCGATGTTTGCAGTTAATTTTGAACAAAGACGATGATTTTCTTACACAGGTGTGCATCGCCAACCGTGAATGCAAACGTTTACGGTTGAAGTCTCTGTCTGAAGACCAGTTTGCAACCTTCAGTCCCAAACGTTCAGCTAAATAAGAACACGAGGCATTGTCAATTGGATCAACATCGTAAACTTCCCTTACTGACACGCCTAATGAATACCAACGCCTCATTAATCTGCAACGGGGCACGACTATGGTTTAGAGTGGTGGGTCTAGTCGATCTGAAGTACGAATAGTGCAATAGACACCTAAACAGAATTACTGTCCTCCTGCAACACCCAGTCCATCTCACTCCAGCTCAGACCGATAGACGAAAACGAATCCCCCTGCCCCTTGCTGGCACTGTGGTGCATGTCACCATGTGCAAATTTGCCTATTTATACAACATCAATGCAGGAAGTGTTAGGTCGTTGACCATAAAGATAGTTTTTGTCTAAAGAATAAGCCAAACCAATCCGGGAGTACCAAAAGGACTGTTTTTAGATCCTGTACCAATTCTTTGAGCCTAATATCTTCTTGTCAAAGCTCATCATCACCAGATGAGAGGAAATTCATAACCCTGAATATTAATGAGTATTCGTCTAGACTTTAAATAGATACGGCTTTACACGTCACCATTCTTTCACGTAATATTTGGGCCGAAATGGGCAGCCCAAGCATGGAATGGACAACATGAAAGCCTCGTACAGCATGTGGTAATTATCTCCGCTTGTTAGAACGGTTAGAATGTAAATTGACTTGCCGAAATTCGACGTTTACTGGGGTATGTTATATAACACCAACTGATCTAAATGTACTTGGTTTAGATTGGTTCGACCAGCTAAAATTGGCTGATGTCCCGTTAAATACTATATACAACCTGGTATCATGACCACATGACTTTGAAACTGATGACACCGTTTTTAACCATTTTTCAACCTGAATTGAATCGATGTCCTGCCATAAATGAAACACTTCGGTTAAAAAAACCTGGGTGTAAGACTGTTTTCTGTCTAATGCAACCTATGACTTATGCAACATAACCGATATTGTAGACGAAAAACTGAATCGTCTTCAACAACATAGAGTTGTAGTGCCTCCATATATATTCCAGTTCTCTTACATCTAACTTGGTTAAGCCCTTTCGATTAATTTATTTAACCAAGCCATTTGTATAGCAACAACTCATATGTACCATTGTTTACGCCTACGCGCTTACTCATCCTTTTCGCTTTAATGTTAATCTCTTATTATCCCTATGAACTCACATGACATGTCCCACTTGTCATTTGACCTTGTCAATCATTCGTCGCTTTTATTCATATGTGTGCATACCTATTTTGCTTGTCATATGTCTGCCTTATTTATGCCTGACTATATATTCTTAGTCATGTTCTATCTCTTCGAGTTGGCTCTTAACCTTCTCCAATTCCGCTTCGCTTTGTAGTGTGTTCCGAATAAATGTATTCATCAATATGAGTTGATGTTCTGATTTATAAACCGACCTTAAGAACACGCAGCAGTAAATCGACACACTACAGAGTTACTACACCGGTTTATTGATCAGCTTGATAAATTCTTTCCATATATATATATCATATTCAAAGTAATAAAGTTTACTCTTACTAGCTCCAGTAAATTCTGGTACATTCACGTCAGCAAATGCTTGTGAACGGACACTTCGTAAACTCATTAGAATATTCCAATGATTAATAATAGATGATTTGTTATAATTCAGCGACGTTTCATCATTTCCATGTACTATTGTTGCATTCTCTGTGTCAAAAATCAATTGTATCTCTGATATACATTCATAATAATCACCAACTCTTGCTTGTAAACGTTTTTCTGCTAAACTATGTACAATATAATCTTTATTATCTATAGAAAATGTAAAGAAAAATAGAGAAAAGTTGTAAAAATTGTAAAAACAAAAAAGAAACAGAAGGCATTTAAAATATAAAGAAATCTATTCAGACTACTTAAAAAAAAAGTAGCCTAAATGTGATTGAAAGTGATGCGTTAACAAAATTCTGATGCACATAGACAGATACAACACAGAACTACGTACGTAAGTACATTAGTTCAGGTTGCCATATCACATCAGTACACAGAGACGTAACTGTCAGTTCAAATCCAACAGTGATAGCAATAATAAAAGTATTGTGGTGCGCGCTATTTATAAGTAGTATATAACGTGAGTGTAAACGTAATGTCTGGCAGCAGAAGATGGGGGAAGATCAAGAAAGGAAGAGTGGGGGAACACAATGGAATTTGTATGAAACGCATCAATAGTGAAATGTGAGACAATGGATTGATGATGGATTGAAGATGTGCAAATGAACGATTAAAGATATGGTTTTCCTATTTTACTGAGTAACTCTGTAATATTCGTTAAATACAATTCGGTTGAACTCACCTGTGTTCTCCTTCACTATAGTATTAGTAGTAATGGAGAAGATTAGGGAGCGAAGATATGATTCGAGAAGTATAATTCAGTAAGATAAATTTACAAGGAGAAAGATAGAGATTATGAGGAATTCAGAAGGTTAGAATTAGGGAGAACACAAAGAGTGGATGCACCTGAGCCATTACAAACGATTTTGAGCCATGTCGTTTAAGGTCTCTCTAACCATTGGTGACTTTCGTCTCGCAAACCCTAACCAGGTAGCCTACATCTACCTGATGATGAGAAACTGTATGTTTTTACTTGTTAACAGTTAGCATTTTACTTTCATATGTGTTACTTGCCTAAAATGAAGTAAATATCGATTAACAAAACAACATGAGTGAATTTTATCTCCGTGTTTTTCACATACATGGAATTTACACCGAAAACTGCTCTAAATAATGTTTCCTATTACTTTTCATTTAACTTAATAATAAATTCTTTTTTTGAAATTAAATAGTATTCATGAAGTGTTTGTCATTAATAATGGTTAATCAAGAAATGAAAAATCGATTTTAGTGAAACGCAACTGATCTTGATGAACATTGAATTACTTAAAACAACTGATTCAAAATCAATCAGTATAAAATTCTAATCAAATCTAAACATAATCTACCGATTAAACATATGTATTTCAAACAACAGTATTCAATTTCATTAAAACTTAGTTAACAAGGTAACTCCGCCAGTAGAAACTTCGGGTCTACTGCCGGTCCCAAGCCCGGGTAAAGGAGGACCCCATTCCATCAAAATTTAACTTGACAAAAAGACGCTAACCAGAAAAACCAGCTCCACTGAACACACCCAACATCGAAGCAGCATCCATGGACCTCCCAAATAACATTGGCGCACCTACGATTGAAGAGATCAGTATGGCCATCAGACAAATCAACAGAGGCAAAGCAGCAGAACCAGACAACATTCCAGCAGAGGCAATGAAAACAGATGTGGAAGCAACCGCGAAAATATTTCACATCCTCTTCAAGAAGATTTGGGATGAGGAACAAGTACCATCAGATTAGAAAGAAGGATACCTCATCAAAATACCAAAGAAAGGCGATCTCAGCAAGTGTGAGAACTACAGAGGCATCACTCTTCTTTCAATACCAGGCAAAGTCTTCAACAGGGTATTGTTAAACAGAATGAAGGACTTCGTAGACGCCTAACTTCGAGATCAACAGGCCGGATTTCGTAAGGATCGATCGTGTACTGACCAAATTGCTACATTACGGATCATTGTGGAACAATCAATTGAACGGAACTCACCACTCTACATCAACTTCATCGACTACGAGAAAGCATTTGACAGCTTGGACAGGAAAACACTGTGGACTCTTCTTCGATACTATGGTGTGCCTGAGAAAATAGCTAACATCATACGGAATTCTTATGATGGATTCAACTGCAAAATCGTACACGGAGGTCAGCTAACAGACTCTTTCGAGGTGAAGACCGGCGTGAGGCAAGGAGAGAATAAACCAGATTCCAGTGGAGGAGGAAATCAGGAAGAAGCGGTGGAAGTGGATAGGACACACACCACGAAGAGCACCCAACTGCGTCACAAGACAAGCCTTCACATGGGACCCTCAAGGCAAAAGGAAAAGAAGAAGGCCAAAGAACACACTACGCCGAGAAATAGAGAAAGATATGAGAGGAATGAACAAACATTGGACAGAACTGGAAAGGGAAGCCCAGGACAGACAGAGTTGGTTGGAGGAAACTGGTGGGTGGCCTATGCTCCATTGTGGATAACAGGCGTAAGTAAGTAAGTAGTTAACAAGGTATTTTCAAACAGTTTTACAAAACAATCTATAAAATTACCCTATCGACTTGACAATCTTCTTTTAATGATTACTTCTTTTCTCAAAACACTAATGAACACAACACAAAATGAAAAAAATGAAACTCGAAGTAAAAAATACATTTTACTTTTTCCGGTTCATTACACACACATAAAATGAAACATCATAAATAACCAACAACTCACTAATTGCCTTCCTGATTACTAAAATTTTATTCGAAATCAAGTTGTAAGCATTAAGAATCTAGAAATATGTTATGTTAATTAAATATGACCCATCTATAGAAAATATTTTTATGATTATTATTATTATGATTATGAATTTCATATAGTAAAGAAACTAAGAAATCAGACATCGAAATTAAATTAAAAACCGGTCAATCTGCACGTAAATAAACTACTACCATTTTCACATTTAACAATACAATATGATTTGCGCATTCAGTCATCCGATCGAATCAATTGCGGAAACGGAGAAAAAAAATAAAAGAGACATAGAGCTATTTGAAATCGTCAATCAGTCATTGTTAGACCACCATTAGAAACCTGGAAGCATTGAAAGACTCCCGTTTCGTCCTGGTATGGGACTCATCAGAGGCAGTGTGCATCCACGACTGCTGCTCCTCGAAGGATTCGAACCTGGGACATTCGATATTGTGCGCGAACGCCGAACCATCGGACCAATGAGCCGGTATCTAACAGTGTTAATGTCTAACTCTGATTGATCTAGGGATTTTGCGCGATCTCATCCATTTGTCCTATTTGGTAGTTACTGCCTACACCCGACAGGGTTGAACTCCATTAGTCACGTCTTCTCAAACTAGAACTCCGAGAATTTCCTCACGAAGCTAGTCGCTAGTGAGCACTGCTAAGATATTTTCGGGCAGAGTTTTGGAGGTTTTGCGTTTTTTACACATTCGAAATCATCAATCAGGTTTCTAATGGTGGTCTAACGATGATTGATTGATATGAGGCGCATGAGTCATGGATGCGCACTGCAGATGAGTCCCATATCGGGACGAAACGGCCGTCCAGTGCTTGCAGGTTTCTAATGGTGGTCTAACAATGATTGATTGATGATCTTAAAAATTACTCAAATAATTCACAATCTTTCTTTCAATAAAACTAGAATAAGTATAAAAGTGAAAAAAAAGAAGTTATCATCACCGATAAACACAATAAGCACATTGAAAAAATATGTCAACATTCATAAGCGTATTAGAAGAAACTAATAAACAGCATGAAAATAATCAATAATTTTTCTATTTTAAATAATCATTATCACAGCACACGTTACACAACAACATTGTGCAAAGGCGTTAATTTTATCAAACTAAGCAAACAAATCTTTTAGTAAATAAATAAGCGTTTTGATGAGTTTTTTTCAAAAATGTGCCAATTTAGTGAAGGAGAACACAGGTGAGGGCAACCGAATTGTATTTAACGAAAATTATAGAGTTATTCAGTAAAATTGGAAAACCATATCGTAAATCGTGTTAATTTGCAAAATATCAGTTCATCATATCGAACTGGACTGTTCCTGTTGCAAAACATCAATCCATTGTCACTCACTGTTCATGCGTTTCATACAAATTCCATTGTGTTCTTCTAACTCTTCCATTCTTGATCTTCCCCCCATCTTCTGCTGCCAGACATTACGTTGACTGACACTCACGTCATATACTACTTATAAGTAGCTCACACCACACCATTAATCTTGATTAGTAGTGAATTATTTTCCACAAAAAAAACAAAAAAATAAAAATACCTGAAAAGAGCAATTTCTGAACACAAACATCTTCTCATCATTTGGATCAATGCAATGTACACGTGGAAGAGATATATATTTAAAGATTTATTAAATATATTATTCACAATCACACACAGAGTAAATATATGCATATACTACTTACTACACTACACTACATTAATAAGCCAAAAGTATCAATGACATTCCTTTAGAAAAAAAATGTATAATCAATTTTCTGAGTTGTGTTTTTCTGTTTCTAATTAGTAAATATATCTAAGAATTTTATCTAATAATAATAAAAGTAGGTGTTTGCCAATTATACTGAAAACGCTCTAACTTCTATGACCAATAGTGCAATCGATAGTACAATCAATAAATGTCACATTTCATGTGTGTCTGTGTGTGTGTGTGTGCGTGCGTGACGGTTATTTTTACTTTTGAACTATTGTTGCCAATCTATAACTCAAGAAAAAAATTTATGATACATTAAGAGAGTAGCTGGTAATGAAATTGAAAGCGATATTGTCAGCTTGTCTTTTGATGATGTTAACACCTAGACTTCATCTATGAGCAGCCTTTCCGTCACCACCTCCCAGTCAGCGTCCTCCACACCATCGTACACCGCTCTCGCCCTGCCTCTTAGTAGAGTCCCCAACATTACCACCTTCGCCCTCTGCTCTTTGACTCCTACCAGCTCCGTCACGGCTTCGAACTACTTCAAGAAGCTCTTTACATCTCCGTCTTCAAACTCATCGTGTGTAGAGACAGCAACACCGATTGAGAAGACTGAGGCAGGCGCGGAAGATTGTATTATGTAAATCTACACTCTGATTCAATTAAAAACGAAAACATTACATTGAATACTCCTCTATTTGCACACC